CATTCAACAACGGTTGTCCCCTTGGCTCTCATCTAGTCGGTTCCCAACACAGACACAAGCACAAATACAACAACGGTTGTCTCCTCGGCTCTCGTCTAGTCGGTTCCCAACACAGACACAAGCACAAATAGTCACGTGACTGTTAAATCAACTTACCTACTTATTTTGCCACAACCGGTTTGGAAAGAGGCAGAGACAGTCTTGCAACCGAGCAGTCTCGGGATCCAGATATAATTACTTCGGCATCGCCGTTATCAGCTTTGAAACATCCCATTGTCTCCCCTCCTCGAATGGTTCATGTGTTTAACAGGGCATCCTATCAACATCAAGCACCGCATACACAGAGCATCCTATCAACATCAAATACCGCAGACACAGGTCGAACGCATCTTGATTGCTCACTGTAGCATTTCCTCGAATGAAAATATTAAGCAAGTCTCCAAACGTTCTTAGTACATTAACCGTATACCATGCTCACAGCGCCGTCAAAATTAAGCAGTTTATTTGTAGTGTGTGGACAGGATAGGTAGGGGTTGACCATGCCGGCGATCCTGCTGCACAGCGCGCAGGCCATTTTGCATACGGCAGGGATTTCGAGGTCCTATGCCCTTCATCTACCATGGTAGAAAAGTCAGACGCGGTTCGACGGATATTTCACCATCTCTGTGGTTGATCGTTTGGGTTTCGTAACATTTTAAAGCGTGAGTCATGTCAAGCAGATGACCTGTGAGCCAAAGTCAACCGGTCACCAGTCGCCAACCAGTCAAAAACGGGCCAAGTTCTAAAAATCAACGGCCGCCATCTACTGCAACTGCAGTAAGACGCTGGCCATAATGTGATTTTGACATTCATGAGTTACAACAGCTATGTTGTCTGGTCACAATGTTGATATACTGATCTAGCCACACCTGGCCCCACACTATGCTTTAACAGCGTGGTGCGCACCGGAACCACGCCGCCTGCAGATGGTGTACTGTGTCAGCTAAACTTCATTTTAGACAATGTACTTTTTCAGCGTTGATGTAAGACAGGCACGAACTGGTGGAATTGGACCAGCATAAGGAAATTCAGGCAATGACGTCACTGATTGAGCGCAACGACTGGTCGTTTCATACTGACCGCGTGAGAGTACCTTTGCAGCAGCGATATGCCTACAAGCAAACATTTACGTGGTTATGTAACTGCACGGGGTGGGGACAGATCACGTGGCTGCATATTGTAAGACCATGTATAACTACCGACCAGATGGCGTCCTGGGCGTCGCCGCTGGGACGGCTGGATCCGTGGTACTAACACCGGCCAGCACAGCTGATGGAGGGGATAAGACGCATGCAAACAGACCGTCGCTGTCTCGCATCAATGAATGGTGCGGTGGGACGTGCCCTGACGGTCGGCATCACGCATGGGCTACTCAGGTGAGGGCATGTACAGTGATCTATTCGAGTTCTGCGGCAAATCACACACGAAGTTGAAGCTTGGCACCACAAAAAAAAAAATGCTCCGCATAGACGCACGCGACTCGTGACCAATGTGGGTGGTGCAGGACACCATACCTGAGGAGCCTAAAGCATGCAATGAACAATCAGTTTTTATCAAATTTCAGGTGCGGAAAATAACACTGGTTAAATCCGTAAACATAAGACGGCGAAACACAAGTCTGGTGGCGGACAGACAATCAGTTTGAACGGCCCACCTAATTTCTCAAGCGTGGTGGCAAGGCTTTGGCACTGCCGACAGCCAGCGGGATTTACCTCAAGCCGCAAAGCCTAAGTGGCAAGGTTTTCGCTAAGTTGGAACGTTTTGAATGGCGCAATCTTGAAATACGGTGTTATAGTCCTTCATACGATTTAGAGCTGTCTTTGCAGTATGAATAGGTCACACCAGAGCCTAGCTTCACAAAGCGGAACTACGGCCTTGCGCATTTCTAGCTTGTGTAGTGTGAGCATGCGAGCAGAAAAGAAGCCACTTCTACTTGATACCCATTCACATATGGGACGCTCTAGCCATGCTTGTTTTTGTTTTTGTTTACAACTTATAACCGGACTTGTAACTTGTATCACCTGTGAGGCGAAAATAAACACGACACAAATCTACCACACCAATAGTCTACACGACACTCGCAAAAAGTGCACAGATTCCCACTTGTATAACGCAATGTCCTGGTTTAGATAAGTGCAAGATAGCAGCACCATGCGACGTACATTTCATGACGCACAGCTACGTTACGACCGAAACGTGGAATTCTGCGTTTACAAAGAGAAGGACTCTTTTCTGCCTTTGCGATGCGTTACATTGCACAGAAACGCTGCAAACGAGATGGACAGACACGTGTTCATGGCCATGGAATGAAGCAATAAAGGGTTTTGAGGAAGTGTACGCTTTCCATAAAGCTGAGCAAGGTGTAGAAACGTGCAGATCACGTGCTGCGATGGTAGCAGCCTCCTATCTGGAAATAGATTGATCGGCACGACACAACGCTCCGGAAAGCACGGTGGTGCCAGCGAGCATTTTCGCTGATGCTGGTGCAGTGCTGTCCTTCTCTAATCGGCGGATATGATAAGTTAATCCACTGTATCTTGCACGTAAATAATGTTTTCCATCGTTTTTTACGATGTGCTGATATAACGTGAGACCGTTGGGTATCTCAAAATCGTCACGTCACGTCACACACACACACACACACACACACACACACACACACACACACACACACACACACACACACACACACACACACACACACACACACACACACACACACACACACACACACACACACACACACACACACACACACACACACACACACACACACACACACACACACACACACACACACACACACACACACACACACACACACACACACACACACACACACACACACACACACACACACACACACACACACACACACACACACACACACACACACACACACACACACACACACACACACACACACACACACACACACACACACGCACACACAAAATCAAGACTTTCTCTCAACTTTACGGAGAAGGCACGTGTTCGTAGTGAAATGTTAACAATGACCTTCATAACGTATTCATTTTTCCGTCAAATATTGAAAAAGCCCACGGTCCAACGAAAGCATTTGCAAAGATGGCGGATTTCATGACCCGCGGCGGAGCTCGAGCACTCCTGTGACCGATTGTAGCTGACAAAATGAGTAAGACTTTATTCCATTTTACAAACAAAACTCTCAAAACCATTTTATGGTAGACTATGACTTTGCAACTAACTGTGGTTTACTTGCACGGATATGATTGAAGAATAGACCCTGATTAGAGTTCGTGAATCCACTTTTGCCGGGCGCCCTTAAAGTCTCACGATGTTGTGTATGAATTATCACGAGTGAGAAGCCTGATCGTCCTTAATCGATTAGACGTCGTGACGTACAATTGTACGCTAGGTGACGCACATACATCTTCTTGCTTTGTCATTTACTGCAACAGGGAGGGCGTCAACTTTTAGAGGCTATGAACTATACAGAGCCTTCAATGCTACAGAATGTTTACTTGAAATGCGAATTCTAAAAAGGTTATGATTTGTATGAAGCGACAGGCATTAACATTGCATTTATACATATTATGACATTTATATTGCAGATCATTGAACATTTGGATGTCTTGGTTCCTTTTATTCAGCGTGAGTGCCTTGTAAAACATCGCCGCGACTGCCCCTAAACACGAACGCACTTCTCCCAATTCCACAATGACCCACGCCTGTTACGGCTGCAAGTGGCGTGTTACGGCTGCATCACAAATGGCGTCAGTAGCCGCTGAGTGGGGGACGCAAAGCCTGCATCTCTTGCTTTCAGATCACAATGGTTGCGTTATACGCCAATCTAAATGTCCGGCAATTTTCAACAATACTTGCCGCATAGCGCGTGGTTGTCCTTTTCATTGTTTTCATTTGCAACCGTAAAATTGATATTCCAACCGAAACACCGTGCAACTATCCCTGAGTGTGCGTTGGTCACCATGAGTATAGCGGAGCAAATAATTCCGGTTCACCTTCGAGTCTAGAAAGACACGGCTTTAGACGATGGCGACCACACAGAAGGATGGCCGGAAGTCCTCAGTTGCAAAACTGCTGTTTCGGATGGAAAATCTCAGCTCTTTAAGAAACATTCGGGAAAACCGGCTTTGAAGCCTGCACCCGACGATGGTAATAGTTACATGCACGTGCTAAGTTAAAATTTCGCGAAAAAGACGGCCTGCCCGCTAATTTAAGGAGAAAACAAGAAAGCGAATGATTCAACGACTACACAAAAATCGCCATGAAAGAATACCTTAGTTTTTGTTTCATGAGCGACTATCACTCAAACCATATTTTGATTCTTTCCACGTCACAGTGGCGTCGATTTTGAGTTGCTCTGCACGTGTGCGTGTACTAGGCAGAAACAGACAGCTAGGAACTGACGAAGGAAGGTCGATCTAGCCCATGGTCGCCAAAGAAGCTGTTGAGGATGCCTCTACAAAACGGAAGACGTACTCACATAGATTGGCTGCTGAATGAAAATATCCTGCCCTGGAAATCTAGGTACCTGTGCCCCTTTTCTCTTACGCTGCGGTAAGCGGTGTGTACAAAAGGCTTACGTAACTATTCTTCTATGCTGCAATGCCACGGATGAATACGGTGACGTGAAGTATAGGAGGTGTTGAAGCACACCGCCTAGCTCCGGTCCGGGAAGTGACATATCACTGCATCGACCAAAACCGACACCCGCCTAACAGATCGGAACCGTCCTGCACTTGCTAGATATTCACGGATCCGGCCGCACCTCACCACCTGGCCGTCGCAAGCGCTACTCACGCTACTACTCATTGGTTTTACCAGGTAACCTATGCCCCATTCCGTCGACGTTTACCGTAATTGTCCACAGGCCTTATCTGTGCGTCCAATGGCACGCCCATACCTGTTATACCCGTGCTCACAGTGCCCTTGACCGCACCTGCCGCTCCCATCCTAACCTGGCTAGTCGCGTTGTCGCCGCGGCCTGCCAACCTTGCCCTTTTTGACGGGCGGGAAGAGTTTGTTGGCGTCCTGCTCGCAGACGGGGGCGCCGTTGACCAGCAGGTAACGGTCGCCGCGGGACAGTGCCGCGTGGCACTTGGAGCACGAGAAGCAGCGGATGTGGTAGACGAGGCCGCCGCCGATCCGCATAACAAACTCTGAAGCCGGGATACCCTGGCCGCAGGCGGCGCACACTCCGCAGTGGCCGAACATCCTGTGGACGAGGGGAAAGGGTCAGATGAGGGGACACACCTCGCAGTGGCCGAACATCGTGTGTATAGGGTTAGGGGGTCAGATGAAGGGAGGTAGCCCACAGTGACCGATTAGCGCGTGGATAACGTTAGGGAGTCAGATGAAGGGAGGTAGCCCACACTGACAGATCAGCGAGTGGATAGGGTTAGGGGGTCAGATGAAGGGAGGTAGCCCACAGTGACCAATTAGCGTGTGGATAGGGTTAGGGGATCAGATGAAGGGAGGTAGCCCACAGTGACCAATTAGCGTGCGGATGGGTTAAGGGGTCAGATGCAGGGAGGTAGCCCTTACTGACCGGTCAGCGTGTGCATAGGGTTAGGGGATCAGATGAAGGGAGGTAGCGCACACTGACCGATCAGCGTGTGGATAGGGTTAGGGGATCAGATGAAGGGAGGTAGCGCACACCGACCGATCGGCGTGTGGATAGGGTTAGGGGGTCAGATGAAGGGAGGTAGCCCACAGTGACCGGTCAGCGTGTGGATACGGTTAGGGGATCAGATGAAGGGAGGTAGCGCACACTGACCGATCAGCGTGTGGATAGGGTTAGGGGATCAGATGAAGGGAGGTAGCGCACACTGACCGATCAGCGTGTGGATAGGGTTAGGGGATCAGATGAAGGGACGTAGCCCACAGTAACCGGTCAGCGTGAAGCAGGAGGGTCACATACAGCTACGCATCCCGAAATGGCAGAATATCGTCAAGATAGAGGAGATGTTCAGATAAACGGACACACTCGGCAGTGATCGAATATCTTGCGAACGAGGGAGGGGTCGGGGTAAATAGGCCATACACAATGATGACCAAACATCCTGCACGCAGGGTAGAGGGCCAGATGAACGGGCAAGATACGCAATGACCAAACATCCCGGAACAGAAGGAGATGCAGGAAAAGGGAGGAACACAGGAGTGCCCAAACACCTTGCGTACGGGGAGTCAGATAAACGCTTGCATGCCACAACGGTTAGATATGATCAAAACATTCGAACGAATCAGATGGGAACAAACCCGAATGTAGCTACTCATTTTGTTAAACGGGGAGGGACGTCAACGCACACCATGAGCAGTTGGGAATTCAGCGACGCGTTTGGTGATGAGTGATTTGAGTACACAAACTGCACTTTGTCCCAATGCAACCTCGTTCTTGATGACTAAGGACAGGCATAGTCGTATGCACGGAGCTCGAAGTAGAATTCAGGATGCATCCCGAACCATAGCATATTTTGCATCCCCGTTTTTCCAGTGATTTTAGTAAGGAACGCGGCCAAAACAGAATCCTCCACTACTTTACCTCACATGCATTCCAACAACGCGACGGAGCCATCATCACTGGACACGCCAGCAACCAGACATGGCTTCTAGCATAGGGGTCGCGGATGCTCCACACAAACCTTTTCCAAGTACTACCCTGGGCAGGCAGTACATTTTGCAAAGTCATTAGTTTATTCATCTGGTCAGTCCAAGTTCTTTGCGACATCTTTGATGGATGGCGTTCAACGTGGTATCAGCGGCACGCCGCTTGTGAGTGTGTTAGCACGTGCCAAAGTGCGACGCATCAGCGATGGCGACTAAACGACAACCCGTCCGCCGGTCAGTTACCTGGCACACCATCCACAGCCCTAACAAGCCGAAGCAATATGCAGCGGGCATGCCAGCCAGCAATGAGGCCTCCATTACCTGGCATAACTGCTCCAATAAAGCGGAAAATGGACTCCTAACTGCCACGCTGTTGAGTTGTCGCCGGCCGCACGCCGGCCCGGATTCCGCAAGACCGCAATGACCAGATCGCCCTTAACACCGCTTTCGATTAAAACGTGCTTTAGTTTTACAGATTCTGAACACAGTCAGATATGTAAAAATAAACAGCACATTCGATGATGTTCTTCAGCTGCGTCGTCACCAAAATCTTACAGGCGAAAAAAGCTTCCAATTTCAACAAGTGCCGAGACGGGTTTCAAGCTGTGACGCACGCTAGCTACGTATATGTGGCTGGAAATCCATATATAGTGATGACATAACGCAAATAACAAGCTCCTGTGATTTCACGATTCATCCGCTTATGGCAACCATTGGGCAACCCAGATTGCAGCTAAATTGCGGTGTGATGGACAGTGCGAACTGTTTAATCAGCTTCAACAATGTACGCAAGGAAATTACAAAAGGGCTTCCAATGAGAGGCATAGAGCCACAAAAAAGAATCCCGTGGACACTTTTGAACTCACAACACGCCGGTGTCCCTGAACCATAGATCTGAACAACCAAGTCGCGCATATTTGCGCTAGTTCCATCTTCAGTGCGTTCCAGTGTGGTACTGCGGGCGCCGTGCACGCTTGCAGTCAGCTGAGTGCACGCGCCACTGCGACGGCGCGGTCGCATTTCTGGACGCTAAGGAGGCCAGAGATGCCCGCCGGCAAGCGGCGAGCGTTCGTGGCGCCAAAAGCAGCACGCCACAAGCGCACGTGCCCCTCGTGGTCCGCATAAGATCTCACGCGTGGCTCTTCTTACAGCCCCCTACCAGCAAAACCGGACTGTTCACAGCTTCCTCCAGACAGTGTCCAGTCGTTGATCGGGCATTGTTCTCACAGCTTTGGTCACGCAATGAATGGTTCACTGTTTCGTGGCTTCGTTCCAACGGCGCTCAGTCATCACAGATCAAATGGAACACGTTGTGCGGTTCATAGCTCTTAATGGAAATGGCGCATTATCCCGCTCTATTCCGACCAACTGCTGCGGCTCTCGGCTCTGGCAAGGCCCACATACCAGATGGTTCATTAGCGGTCTAGAGACGATCGCACAAACCAAGCATCGGAGCCTTGGAGCAGATGCTCCGATGCGTCCCTGCGGCACGTGCGTGACACGTCGCGTCTTGCACCTTCTTTAGCAAGCAGGCAACCGCGCGCACACCAGACACGGCGGCTAGCATGGCTCGGCTGGTCCGCGCTCGCACGAACGCAGAATATTATGGGGGTAACAATTCGGGCCCGAGCCGATTCGCTGATTAGAAGTTAGCGCCCGGGGATCATTAGTCTGAATGGGCGGGGGATGGTGGCCGGGTAAGCGATAGCGGCTTGGGGCCATTCAGCCGACACCTTCGGTGACATCATTACCTGGCGCCGGCGCTGCGGCCAGGCCGCCGACAAACGGCCGCGCCGACACGCCGGCCATGTCGGTAATTGCCGACAACGCGGCCCTCGGGGGAGGGGGAGGGGGCACCAATACGATGCGGCGGCCGCGGCAGCCGCGGCGGGCACGTGCGAGGTGCCCGCCGGCCACGGGCTGTCAGTCATCAGGTCGCTCCCCCGCAATAGCGCTGGGCCGGCCCAAAATATGGCGTATTTGTCAAACAGGTGTCTTTTGATGGATGAGCCAACGCGCCGTTCGATTCTACCATGGCGCTATTCAGTGAGTCATTGCTTGATGACTACACCACACCTTCGTCGTTGCGTTGCCTCCGGCAGCGTGCAGTACTTGCGCTGGCGAAATACGCGGAAAAAGACATGTTTGAGGTCTATCACCATAATGCTCTGCGCTGAATATCCGAAACCGATTATCACAGCAGTACATGGAACAAGAAGGTGCACCTTGTAGTTCGAAGGACACCGCAGGCAATTCATTTTTATTCCATTCCCGGCGTCAAAGCTGTAAACAGCACTATTTCACTTCAAATATGGGGCCGACGATAACGCCGTTGGTGCCTAATCAATCAGTTTGAGCAGCCCGATGAATTCGCCGCTAGCGCGGGACTGCTCACAGCTGATGGAGTTTTTCTCACGCACAGAAAAATAACTCAGCAGCTTTCCGCTGGACCAAAATGTTTTCAACTGAGGTTTTGAACAACGCATTGCTAACAAAAAGGCGGTATCATGGGCTTTCATCATTAACTCATAAAGCGATTCAGCAACGATAGCTGTTGGATTCGTTCATTGAGCGCGGGAAAACAAACGTCGGTAATTTTTTTTGGAAAAAAATGATCTGATAACGACGGGCAAGCAGTCGGATGGACGTGTTTGGTGTTCAACAGTCATTTTAACAAGAGCTGAATTCATAAGAAACATTTCGAGAAAGCTAGCTTTGCTGCCATGCACGAACACGCCTCATCCAAATGCACACGTGCTCAATCAAAATGTAATCTAAAATGTTCCTATCTTTTAAAAAAAGGTTTCAGTAGTTGATATTCACTCCTCTCCGAGCCAAAATGGGCATAGCGCGCTTGATTCTTGCATCCAGACTGGACAACCCCGTCCTACAAAGCCGCCGAGTAGCGTGGCCACCTTGGATGCGTGGCAAAGGCGGCGTTTTTCCACACAACAGCACCACACACACCTGAGGTGGGCGGGACAGCCATCTCGACACACTCGACCCGACCAGGTGGAGCGGAGAACCATTCTCATTGGCGCGGCACGGCGCGCTAGGGGCCTGCAAGCCCGCAAACGGGTTTTGCACTGCTTCCACTCAGATATCATCTTCAATGGCTGTCACATTTTTGCATAACTAAGAGGTGCAGTGAAACTCTGAGGTGGTGGCGGCGGCGGCGGCAGCGGTGGCGGCGAGGGAGGCTTAGGCCCGAGTCCGGGCACCGCATCACCTGGGTGAGTGCCGGTCAGCCCTATACTGACTCGGTCCGCACAGCAGCGCCTAAGTCATGAGCGCACTCCCCTAGCAGCGGCAAGCCATGGCCATTTAGGTGTGGGCTGGCCACTCCTACAGCGGCTTACCGGACGTCTCGCAATAAAAGAAGAAGACTCCAGTGTCAATTAAAGTCAAACGAGCCCATTCACATGGCCGTCGCGCCGTCAATGCAGCAGTAACATGTCATGCTTGTGCGGCAAGGTACGTACGACGCGGTGGAAATGTACACGAAACATGAAGAAGCACACCGTCTGAAGATTGGGCACTCGACAATTTCAAACATGCGATTATTGTCGAGGTTTCACGGGTTTTCTGTTGGAGTGCATTTATTCAAAT